TTTTTTAAACCGAGTTAAATTTCGTGCGATCGATGAAAACTCGAAATTCATATATTTTCTTACCAGATCACTTTCTTTTTTGGAGGATGTAATCATTGAAAGTGTTTGTCAGAAATGGTCTGGGTGCGGATAGCGATTAATTGGCCCTCGGTTTTATCTCTGGGCCATTGTACAGATTTTAATATAAGTGAAGGGCAATGGCTGCTCGTCGGGGGAGGCGAGGGGGCCCCTCTCAAAAATTCATGGGAAGCACATTCCAGACAACTTGGAAATGACCTGTTACGGTATCAAATACAGTCAACTCTCGTTAATCCGGACTCGAGGGGACTGGTGATTTTGTCCGGATTAACGGTCATCCGGATTATCGAGTACCTCCCGAGTGACCATTCATTTTTCTTCTTTTTTCCTGGAAAAGTAAACTGCACTTAATATGTGCAAAGAAGGCCTTCATTGTTTGCATGAGAATAGGAAATCTTGGACTCAGTTCTTTCGATCTGTGCATATTGAAAGCGTGCGCTTCGCATTCGTTTCCGCGGGAGGGACACCAGCCAGGACAGCAGCCTGCTGAAGTTCATCGCGACACTTTTATATATCCTATATCCGACACTGTCGATGTTGGAATGTTCAAATCACGTGCTACCACAACTTGTCTTTCAAGTAAGGCCTAGTCCACAACAGGAAGTTTTATTGCATATATGATCTAAGAATGTTGCAAAATAAGAGATTTTTTAAAGAAAACTTTCGAAGGAATCTCTCAGAGCATTGAAAGTCTTGCATATGAAACTTTCAAAGACGTCCTCACCGCGAAAGCTTCTTTTCCAAATAAATACAACATTGAAAACTTTCTGGCATGGACGGAGGATCTAAAGGCCCTGTTACTCTTGGCGAGTACTCTTGGCGAGTACTCGCCATTTACTCCCTTCAAACTGCCAGCCATCTATTCCACGAATGGGGAATTTGCTTTTTTGAGCACCTGTGTACAGATGTCGATAAATATGAGATATGCAAAGGTGATGGCTGCCCGCCGAAAGTTGAAGTTCTCATCAGTCGTGGTGGATCTAGTTGACAATGTGATGGCACGCCGACTGTCAAAATGACTCTTAGGAGGCCAAGGAAAGCCAAAACAAATATCTTCGATTCTGTTCAAATGATTTTTCGAAGATCCACGAGCCATTCACTTCATATTTAATTTATCCCAATCTCTTCAGTCGTGAAGTGGCCATATTCAATCTCCTACGAGTTTCACGCCTGGCAAGGTAACGAAGGGATGAAATGAACAATTCCTCTGGTTTGACATGAGTGACATGACAATGAAAAGCTCTCTCCTCATAACTCGATTCCAGGAAATTGGGGAGATCTAATGTTTTCGCTTTATTTATTTATTTAAAATCCAAGGGTGAGGAAAAGTGAAGACGTGGGAAGAAGGCAGGGAAATCTATTCTTTTCTGTTGTATCATATGTATTTTGCAGGAAAGTCCGGATTAACGGGGGGGAGGGGGGGAATGGCTCAGGGGATGATAAAACTACTCCGGATAAACGGAAAGTACGGAATAACGACGTCCGGATTAAGTGGAGAATTTTGTTATTGGTTCTATGAGACTTCTGCCGGGAACATTCTTCATGTCCGAATTAACGGGAGATCCGGATTACTGGCGTTCAGATTAACGAGAGTTGACTGTATCTGAAAGAAATCTCTCAGAACCGTTGGGTTCGTTGTCGAACCCAATGTTACGCGAAACGGGCGAAGTCCAGTCTCTGACAGTTGACGCCTTCCCAGAATCCCAAATGGGAGGCAAGAGCCTGGAGGCCTCCCTTGGTCCATTGACAATGTATGTGGGTGGTTGCGCCTATCGCCTGGTAGAAGGGATCCTCTGGAAGTTGTTAGTTCTCCTTTATCCTCCATAAAGGGAGGGGGGGCGGGGGACCTTAGAGAGTATATAAATGGAGGGGCCTCCCCTATGGTGTGAGGCGCTGCACCCTTCCAGGCGCAGCAGCCTACTTACTGAAGTCGCACGAGCAAGGAGCTCATAGCAGACACGTGGATAAGAGGGGGGGGGGGGGGACAGGGCAAAAGAGGCAACTTGCCCCGAGCTATATGCCTGGGGGCCTCTACGCCGGGACCCAACCAATCACGTTATTCATTTTCACGTGCGAGACCTTCCCAAGATGGTGGAAAGCACTTGCAAGTCTCGTGGCAGCGAAGGCCTTTCCAGAGACATCTATATACACAAGAGGGGGAAGGGGGGGGGGGGGGGGGGGACGAATTCAGTCCCAAAACAGTGTAGCACACGCAATACAGTAATAGACGAAAGCGGGGAGGCCGGCCTCACCGTCTGTGTGGCGGGTGCCTGCTAGCAAGCGCTCGTACATCTTTCGGCCCTTTTGCCACAAGTAGGAGCTGCTCGATCATCCGAATTCGCAGTGGCAATTTATATCTGCGCCGTTGACAGAGATGGAAAAGCCACAAGAGATCTCCTACGTAAACGTGATATTTGCTTGGTGTGTGAAGTAGGTGCGATTTTGCTTGGGAGAAGTTCTGAATCTCGCAAGTGGAGAATGTCGTCAGACCGATGCAATTATCAGACTGTTTACGTCGCTCGAGTGTTCCATGAAGTATCTATTTCCGCTCTGCTTTCTCACGATTTAGATTCAATATACACTGCCGACTTGGAAGGTTTTTTTCGCTCAGGATTTTATATGCCACCTGCCTTTGCAAGAGGTTTGAGCCATCAGGCGACATTATGCTTCACACCACTTTTATGCTTTATGCTGCGATGAATTCTTGTTGACTCCGAAGATCCTGCGCTGGCCTCCGCAGATTTTTCGTCCGCGAGCCGTCACTGATAAGGGCGTTTCCAGCCGTATTGATAAAGCCCAGGAGAATGGTCTCCCTCGACCACCAAAGGGAAAGATTCCCCACCCTTTTCTCCTCTCCGTGAGAATTGGTAATTGTTGAGATTGAGGCGGAGAAGTCGATTGTTAGGGGGGAGAGAGTCCCGATTTCGGGAATCCCATTTCCCTCCTGCGACTGGGAGAACAAAAGAGGAGAAATGAGTGAAACGTGTTCGGGAACGGCGGGGATGGGGCGGAGGGAATGGGACCAAAAATCAGGATAAAAGGTGGGAAAGGGCGCGACGGAAATGAGAGCGTTTAGGAGTAGGAGTCTGAATTGTTTTTCCCTTGAGTGAGTTTTTCCTTTTCCAGTCGGACTATGGTTGATGGCGCCATTCGGGCGACTGCGATAGTATTAACCCTCCCGCCATCTCTTTCTTTTTTCTGTACCCGCTCCTAAAAAAAATGTAAGCTTTTATGGAAATAATGGGTTTCATTTTTCTTTTTGGACTCGAAATGTGACTTAGCTGTGGAATAATTCATGAGTACTCGGAAATGCACTGTGGTCAAAAACACCCCAGAGGGTAAATGTAATTTTAAACCGAGGGGAAGCAAGGGTAAACAGGAGAAAAATGCAAATTAAATAGGGAGCTTGGTTTTTGTTTTCAAGATTTAATCAAAATAAATAGCTCAAAGTGTTTATTAGACTCAAATGGATGCATAGTATTACAAAACAAATGTCGTTCAAGTTGACTCTGGCATGGCATTGTAAATGTTGATTTTCTTGACTCAGGGCTGTACTGGGGTTAATAGTCTTTTTAGTGAACGGAGTGCTGGAGTATCATCCCTATTTGAAAGTTTTGGTTCCTCTAAGGTGCTTTTTCATTATCCTTGCTTGTACCAGTCAAAATGAGGGGACTTTGACCTCAGCCAAACTTTTGCATTATCATTTATACAATACAGAAGTAATCTATCCTTTCCTTGTCATCAACCCTTGAGGTGAGTTTAGATAAGGTTTTCCCTCTCCAGTCTGATCTGAATTCAACCTGCATTGAAAGTATTGGTAAAGAAGAAATTCTATTAGCATGTCAAACCTCATTCAATCTGAACACTACTTCTGATCCTTTCTCCATTATCAAGAAGTTGTCTGTCTCTGGCATCATTGTGGACCAATGACCAATACATTTGTTGTGCTGATTTTGTATAACAATGCATTGTTATACAATAGATAGCACATTGTCCTGTATATGCTCATAGTCCATGCCCTGCAAAAATGGTGCATTTTTTAAATATATAATTTACCTGACCATTTCTAAATGCACTTTCTAGTTTGATTGTAAGCATGCTGGATTGAAATGAAAAGGAACTTGAAAAATAAGCCTGTCATTGGGCTCCTGGTTCTGGCCCACCTGATGACAATTTGGTGAAGTCTTAAATCGAGAGCTCTTGGTCATAGGATATGGTTTCAAACCATGCCTACATGTGTAATAAACTGAGAGATCAAGGATAATTTTTTCTTGTGAGATCTCATGTCACAGGATGGATATTCAGATTACTCCCAAGTTTTTCTGTGCGGTCGATTCTTCCACATTCAATCCATGGGGGGGAGTTGTAAAACCAAGTCCTATCTGATGCTATTCAAATTAAGATTCAGAACCTATCTGAATCTTATTTTGATTAAATATGATCCCTGACACAGACTGAGGCTAAACTAAACACTAATGGATTCTGCCTTTTCAGGGTGCCTTGCAAAGGGGGAAAACAATTTCATGATATTTGTGTTCAATTTTCAGGGGACATGAGAGACCAGGGAGGAATGGTGAGGGATGGTATGCTCCCATTTGACTTCCCTCAGCCTCAGCTCCCTATGCACTCCCACATGCCTCCACCAACTTCCCAGTTTTCTGACTTTGCAAACTTTCCACCAGTCATGCCCAACTCCTTTCAGCAGGGTTTTGGAATGCATTCAAACTTTGACCCCCCTCCCATGGTGAGCTTTATTTTGAACACATTTGAGGCATGGTGAATGAGTGTATTGGAAAGAAGAGATGGAGAAATCTGAGCTTTTTGGATTTCTCCATCTATT